AATATGTCTTTTTTGTGATCCCAAATTAAACCTAGAACTCTCTCTTCGGTTAAATTCTTTTCTGTGACTTGTTTCGATGGAGTGTTGTCTGTTATCTGATTTAAAACTTCTGGAGAATTAGATATCCAATTTCGCTTGTCGAATCCACCTGCCTTGTGTACATATGTTACGTCCTTAATTAATTTTACGGCTGTACTAATGTCTGGAGCTCCACCCAAATAGTCATCCATGTAATGTTTTGTTATTATGTCCTTACAGGCTTGGTCATAGTCATTTTGAAAATCTAAGGCGTTTCTGTTTCTGACCTGTTGGGCGATACTTGGGCTACATTTAGCGCCAAAAAATAGAACTTGTATTTCGTACACGTCCGGTTCGGATTGTCGGTTGTCGCCTCGCCATAGGATTCTTTGTGCGCAACGGTCTGACTCCTGTACTTTTATTTGGAGAAACATCTCTTTGATATCTCCGACAAATGCAATTTTGTGTTCTCGAAAATTCATTAGAACTGTTGACAATTGGCTATATAGATCTGGACCTGGCAAAAGGAAATCATTAAGACAATAACCATGGCTTTTGGAGGCTGCGTCGAAAACTATTCTAAGTTTGTCTGGCTTGTTGCTATTTAGAACTCCAAAGTGTGGCAAATAGTAGGTCAAGGGAGTGATATTAGTTTTCTCAGCAGAAGTCAATTTCCTCATATACCCATTTTGTATGTAGGAGTCAAAGGTTTGCTTATATTTTTTCCCGTACTCCGGGTTTTTGTCCATTTTTCTTTCGCATAACAACAATCTAGAGTATGCATTTTTGTAACTTTCAGGTAGTTTAATGTCGTCACTTTTCCAAAATAGACCACATTGAAATCTGTCATCGATTCGTTTGAGGGTTTTGTCAACAATTTCCAAACATCTTCTGTCGTCAAGTGATGTCGGAAAGTCATGAGGTGTTAATAACTCATTCTCAATGGACCAATAGGATTTAACCAGATTGTGTAGAATGTCCAGGTCATCGTTAGGGTTGTCGTAACCTACGCAAATAAATACATGGCATGAATAATTTCTATCTGGAATTTCTCTAATCATTCCCACTGTTCCATGTACAACCCAACCCAGCGCCGTTTTGCTAGCGACAGGTCCTTGAAATGATTGATATTTCAATTTCCTAGATACTATGATTGACCAATTGTCTTGACCAATCAAAATCTTTGGATGCGCGTTTTGGTAGGAACAAAAGGAAAAGTCTTTCAAAAACTCGTAGGTCTCAGACATGTCGCTTATTGACAGGGTTTGAAGGGGTAGATTTAAGCATGATACGGTCTTAACTTTTCGAAGAGTAAATACTTTGGAAGTCTGTTCCTTACCTCGGATACCCACACTAACTACCTTTGAGTTCGCTTGTTCATATACCTCGTTATTTGTCCACTGCATCTTTAAAGGACTAGTCGGTCCTTCTAGTTGTAGGTCAGTCGCTAGTTGTTCATCGATCAATGAAATTGTCGAGGCTTCGTCAAGTAAAGCGTATGTCTCGATTGCTTTTTGTGGACCTATTAGTGTGACTGGAATGACCTTTAGTAATACTTTGTTACAACCGAAATTAATGTTGCAGTTCATGTCGGGAATTGTCTTGTTTTGGTCATTATTACTAGGCATATCAAGGGAAGCGCTTGCTGTGTTGTCTTTGTCTTTATGCAACAAAAAATTGTGGTTAAACTTACAATTTTCTGCCCTACAAGTCTTTTTGCGTTTGCAGTCTTTCATAATGTGATTTCTACCCAGACAAGATATACATAACTTATTGTGAGATGTGAATTCCCAACGCTTGTCGACACTCAAGGATTTAAATTTTGGACAATCTGTTATGTGATGATCAGTAGACTTACAATAGTTACAATAGTATTTGAATTTTTCAAATGTCTTGACTGGACTTGAGACTGTTAGTATTGTGTCTTTTGATTTATTCTGACCGAATCCGAGCAATGTCGCTGCTTTTATGGTTTGACCTAACCATTCGTGAAATAGTATAATCTTCGGATCGTCAGACTTTATTTTTTGAAAATGTTTTATGAATGAGATTCTTTGAGAAACCTGAATTTTTTCTAGAATTTCCTCAAACAGCAAATTGTTACGAATCTGATCAATATCATTGAAGGACAGTAAAGTTTGAATGAGATTTGTAATCATATCATAAAAAGTGATGAGTCTGTCATATTTATCCTCTTTGATTACAGGAAAAGCTCGAATTTTATCTATCATCATTTTCACGACATGACTACAGTCTCCGAATCGATTTCTTAATATGTCAATTATCTCATTTACATTTTGTGGCACTAATAGAAGTGACTGTACACATTCTTTGGCTCGACCTGTCAGTGCTTTTCGCAAGCGATTGATGTTTTCGTAGTCGGTGAATTTACACACTTGAGAACTATTCTCATACTCGGCAATAAAAATTGGCCATTCTAAAGGGTCACCACTGAATAAGGGAAGTTCCTGTTTAATTGTTTGTCTAGCCATAAAACTAACAATGGCATTTGAATTGATGTCATCAGGCTGATCTGTTTGCTTTCGTTGAGAAGACTTAACCCACTCACGTGTCCTGGTGCCGTTGTTGTACTCATCGCCGATGTTGTCATCTTGGTCGTCTTGGCTTCTGTTGTCTTCTTCAATTTCTGTCATTTGCATCTGCATCTCCAGTTCCAACTGTTTCTCCTCGAACTCTAGCTGCATCCGTTTAGCTTTCAGCTCTTGTTGCTTCTGTAGATGCTCCATTTGAAGTTGAAGTTTTTGGGCTTTAACGGATCGTTGAGATTGGTGGCTCCGGTTAGACTGTGCTTCTTCGTCCCACCTTTCTGGAACTTTCTGCGTTGATGCTGCCCCTCGCATAACCGTTGCCATTGAAATCTCCAGTAGATTCGCCGCAGAGGTGCCTGGTCGCGGCGTGTCCTCTATTTCCCTGGGCGTGTTGTCGTCATTCTTCTGCTTCTTGAGACGTGTCTTAGGCATCTTTTTGAGGTTGTGTTTGTCCAGTTCCAAATTTTACAGGTACACACACACTAGTCGTCGTCAATGTATGTGTGAAGACTGTTCTGTGCATGTCCGAGATCACGCTCGGTAATACATACACTTGCAAATTTTGGCTGATGAAATTGCGCTCTAGTTTCGCGTAATCCATGTGCCGTTCAGGAGGCTAAGAAGGACCATTTGTTGGGGTAATTACCTGGTAAGGGTTATACCGATTAAGGATTATGGGGCTCGAAAGACCATTTGTTGGGGTAATTACCTGGTAAGGGTTATACCGATTAAGGATTATGGGGCTCGAAAGACCGACTTCTAGCCCACACAAGCCACTGTCGTTGTAGTCGTCGAAAGATTCGTTTGAAGAAAACACCTGTTATATGCTGATCACTTATTTTTGGATCTTTTGCAATATATTTGAGCTTTTGCGCTCGTCAACTCGTGTACTTCAAGAATTTTATATGCAAGTGGCGTCTCTTTTTGCCGACTAGAGTGACCGTCTTTCATTCGGTGATACATACGAGATTTCGATAACAGTTTAGTATTTTTTTTACATAACACAATGACATAACATCAACATATCAAATTCAAATTAATATAATGCATCAACATTTCCCTTGGGGTCTTTGATCTCTGACCTTATCGCTTGGGTAATTAAACGCAGCTCCACGGGCTTCCATTTGTATCCACAAAACAATAACCGAAAAATCGCAGGGGGTTCGAACATTCGAACTCTTTGAATCCACAGCTAATTAAGAAGTTGAACTCGAGGGATGAAGTTATAATAGATTAATACAATAGAATTTAGGTAATACCTACATAAAAGCATAAAAATTAGTATTTTTCAAGACTATCCCAAGTCGCTTGTCATTAAACAGTTAGCAATGCTGCTTATTGACTTAATAATTACTTAGTGGGTTTAGTTAGCCTACGCTTAAACATTTCAGTTTTTTTTAACGAATAATAACTTTTATTGGTTGTCCCCGCCCTCAAAGTGATAACTTTTTGAGCAAACAAAAATGTCAAATGAAGGAAAAGCTATATAAAAAGGGGGCGTTAACCCCCTTCAAAGGGGACGCTTTATTTTTAATACCTTTCTTAGTTTTTAGTCTGCCTGGAGTTGAATGTATTTTAGTTGTGTTTTTTAAGAAAGAGCGGTAATAAACGGCATTATATCATCATCGCAGTCTTGATTATTATGATCGACCAAAAGTCATCGCATATATGGCCAAGTACAGTTAGTCGAGTGCTTTTACTGCCCATTCCAACTGAAACTGGGAAAAAACAAAGGCTTCGAGACGAAAAAAAGCGAGGAAAAACAAAACAAAAACCTTTTCCCAGCTTTAATTACAATGCATAAAAAATACAGTAAAAACCCGAAAACAGATTCAGCCATGGCGTTTGTGTGTTGGACATTGACCGTCAAATGAGAAGTCTGAAAAGTGTAACACGCTTGGTCGCAATTTAACCCTTCTCTGGCCCACGAAGTGCTGGGAGCTATTGGGTTAAGAGTGACTCAATGCCAAGAACATTTGATGATGGTACTACAGGCCATATTTAATGAATTCCGGGAAACAAGATCGGTTTTTATGTCACGAAAACAAATTAACAACAAACATGTAATTGGGTATGCACTGTTTCCAACTTCTCTCGATGTAATATTATACCATTGGATTTTTTAATAGGGTTCCTAAATAAAAAAATCTTTATATAATAAAAGATCAAAAAGATACATCATTAAAGATTAAGTAGGGTCTAATTAAAAATTCTAAGTAATTTAAAAAACATATTTCAACTTCTAAAGATACATTTCTTTTAATATAACATTTTATTATTGGATCAATAAGATTTATAAATAATGATCGAACTAATATATAATTTTAATTCTTATTTCAAACTTTTTAAGCTACATCTTTAATTGTTGTTCAGAAAAATTGCATACATTTCTTTATAGAATTCAACAATTAACTTTCTTCTTTCTTTTTGCAGATGATTTCCGATTTCCCATCGATCGACCGGCAGGGAGATTCAGTATCATCAGTACTATGGTAATATCGATCGGTTCGATGGGCCTCGTGCCGCAGCCACATCGAAAATTTGCAACGTATCGCAGGCTGTAAAGGAAAATCCCCCCCAACAAAAAAGGAAAACCAAACTGCAACGCTAAATTGCAGATAGAGGATAAGATATTAGCCGATAGAAGAGGAAAACACAGGGGTGAAGCACCACCCCCACCCACCGTCACACAAATGAGGGTGCCACCAACAGGTTGACCACCAAAAAAACAGAAAAAGAAAAGTAAATAAAAAATAACAAACAAAATAAAATAGTAATAAAAAAGCCAACCGCACGACAAATAGAAAAGGCAATAACAACAGAAACCACCAAGCCGCAAAGCCAGGCCACCGAAAGAGAAAGAGTGCTGAAACAAAGCGAGAGAGGGAGAGCTAGAGTGTAAGCAGTGTAAGCAGTGGAAAACCCCCTGGAAAAGCCGCCCCTGGAAAACCACTAAAAGCCCGCACAACAAAATGTTACAAAACTCGAACGCCGCCGCCGCTGCCGCTGCGCACTCGGCAGCGCAGGCGGCCTCGGTGGCAGCAGCCTCTGCCGCCGCAGCGGCCAACAACGCGGCCCTGGCCGCCTCCTCCATCCAGCCCAAGCTCATCGTGATCCGCCGGCGACCGAACCAGGGATTCGGCTTCACGCTGCGCCACTTCATCGCCTATCCGCCGGAAGATGATCAGGCATCCGCATCGGCATCGTCGGCGGCAGCAGCAGCGGCATCGATATCCGGCAACTGGCCACAGGTGAGTCGGGATGATGATGTAGAAGATTATGAGGGGACTTAGGATGAGGAATGTGGTTGGATAGATGATCCAGAGTATAGAATTCGAAATAGCTATCATAATATCTGTCATACTATCTATCATTATATCTATCATAACATCTATCATAATATCATGACATCTAACTGATCTTATGTGATAAGAATACCTGAGTATGAGTCAGGATTTCGATGGTCTGGTGAGTTGATGATTATGTAGGGATAGTGGATGCCACATAGAAGAACATAATATATATTGGATAGGAAATGCAAGAGTAGGGCCTGCCAGGATGGAGGATACGTGGCAGAGGATTTAGCATAAGGGATATAGGGGATGTAAAATAGTATCTATCATAATATTCACTATAGTATAATGACATCTAAGAGATCCTATGTGATAAGACAGTAATGATGCTCTGCTGAGTAAAATATTATTTAGGGATTGTGACATCTTAATAGATGTAGATAGAGGAACTAAACATATATTTTATAAGGGATACAGAAATAGGGCTACGAGGATAGAGGATTCAGGGTAAAAGATGTAGGATGGGGGTATAAATGATAAATATCTATCATATCATGACATCTATGCGGCTTTTGTGATAAGGAAAACTAAGTATGAGTCGGTATGGTGGGTAAAATATTATGTAGAAACATAAAGACATGGATAGAGGATGCAGGGTCATAGTCTATAAGGATAGAGGTCTCAGGGTTAAGGATGCGGTGATGATGCAGAAAATCTATCGATCTTAATATCTTAACATCTACCTACATAGGTTTGCTGATAAGGAAAGCTATTAAAGAGAATAAATAACGTTAAATACGCCAATTTTATATCTATGAAAAGTAGAATTTTTTAAGCTAACATTTGTTAAGTTGTTTAATATTCACTATTAAACAAATTTGCTCGCAAAGGAAGTGGAACTGAGAGAGCGGGAGTGACTTTTTCTCTCTCTCGCGCTCTGCTCAGTCGCTGGCGCTGCCTCAGTCGGCGCCAACGTCGGCGTTTGGCGTTACGTGAGCGCTGCGCACGCGCGACTTATTCAAATTGCCGCTTTTGCTTTTTCTGCTTTCTTTTTGCTTTTCATTTGTGATACACAGCACAGAGTTCAACAGGGGTATTTAAAAAATATTGAAAACTTGTTCGAGCCCAATAAATAACTAGAAACTATGAAAATATATAAAATGTACAAATTTAGAATTCATTGACTATAAAAAAGTAAACAATTTGAAAATTCAAATATTTTATGGATTAAAGAAATCTACAACCTTTAAAAGAAGTAAATAAATCATTAAACATGACCACACTGCGTATGAGTATTTTTCTTTTGGCATAAACTTGTGAATTTTATGTTAGGGTATTCAAATGTCTGTAGAACCTCCCTTCTCTTTCTCTTTTATTTTTATTTTTGCACTAATTTGCGTTTTGCTCACTTCACTTTTTTGTGCCCGTTTTATTTTTATTTTTGTTGATATTACAACCTCCGCTCGGCGCTCTCACTCACTCTCACACTCTCTTTTCGCCCTCTCCTTGTCGCTCGCACGGCGACTTAATCCAATCTACACTCTCCTCGCGAAATGTTGTTTCACGACCCACAGTCACGTCCAGATAAATAGGTCTTTTTATTTAATTTTTTGTTTTTTTTTTATTATTTGTAGTGTATATAAATGAGTACTTTTTATGTTTTTCGAGTGTCTTAGAGTATAAATTTGTTTAGTGAACTTTAAAATAAGTTGTAACAAGGTATTTTTGTTAAAAAAATCATGTTTTACAATATTTATTGGTTGTAACTTGTTTTTAAACAGGTCATTGGCTTATCGAATCGAATATATTTTATACTACAATTTAGTGGGTAACGATCTTACAAATAAGATTAAAGGACTGTCCATTATGTTTTTGTATGTTTTTTATATTACTAGATTATGGCACCTTCTTAATCTGCCCGCCACAATCGTACATCTGACTATTTTTTTGTGCTTCGGTTTCGTTTGGTGTGTAGGAAGCCTCCAGTATGGCCGGCAGCAGCAGCGGCAGCAGCAGCAGCGTCGTCGGCGGCGTCGCCGTGGCCGGGATCACCGGTTTGGAGCCAACGTCGCCGACGTCGCTGCCGCCGTACCAAGTGAAAGCGATGGAGACCATTTTCATCAAAGAGGTGCAGGCGAACGGACCGGCCCACTACGCCAACCTGCAGACGGGCGACCGCGTGCTGATGGTCAACAACCAGCCGATCGCTGGCATCGCCTACAGCACCATCGTCTCGATGATCAAGCAGACGCCGACGGTCCTCACGCTGCACGTGGTGCCCAAGGAGTGCGATGTCCTGCAGATGGTAAGGTTCTGGGATGGTACACCACGGGGGATTACCGAAAATGGATACCCTGATCACCGACTATCTTCAAAGTCCCAAAACTAGGCGATATTACGGAAATTTGCTTATGACATCTAACAAAATTCCTAACGATGCAGTGTTTTTAGTTTAGAAAAACTAAAAAGGTTCTGCCACGCTCATCGTGAGATGGTATTAGGATCCTTAAAATATTAACTTCAAAATACCAAAACAAGGCGATATTACGGAAAATTCCCTAAAATATTCAGTGCTTTTAAAATGAAATGTGTTTATTCTGACCTCGTTTCCTTAAAAATAACGTTTTAAAAAACTAGTTTACGTCACAGAGTGTGAGGAACCGAAAATGCCTCGAAATTGTTGTGACTCACATATTAAAATTTCATTGTAAAAATATTTCTGAGAAAGACATTAATATTTCCAACCAAAACAAAACCCTATATGTGATATCACACTGCGCTGTAATTAATTCTTTTGAATAAACAGAGTTGATTTGGTTTTAAACATACAATAGTCGATATCAACTTTTGATATCTTAGTAGATTCAGTTGAAATTTATCGTTTTATTTATGGCAGTCAGTGTTATTGCTATTTCGCAAAAGATAAACAAGCAGTTATATTTTTTAACAAATTAAATAATCGACTGCTTTCTTAACCAGTCATTAATAAGAGTGATTGATGATCTATTCGAACTACATGTCAGGTTGATACTGCGAGAAGTGTTTAAATAGTGATACTAAGATCACTTGGTTTTAAAGCGATTAAGTCGAGTAATTGAGGAGAATGCGACTATTATTGATATACACCCACTGCATAGTTTGTTGTATTATATTATCATCTCACTAACTTGTTTTCCCTGCGTCTTTTTACAGCACTATACGAGCATTGCCCACACGCCGGAGTCGAATCGCCTGACCATGTCGACGCACTCGCCCTCGCTGCTGGCCAACGGCTCCCACAAGACCACATTTCCAGCGGCAACAGCAGCAGCAGTTGCAGCGCCACCGCAGCAACATCAGCAGCAGCAGCAACAGTTGATCTCATATCCCGCTGTTGCAGCAGTGACCACATCATCGCCGGCAGGATCGCCGCACTCGCATCCCAACTCCCATCATGCACCATCCCTGCACGGAGGCAGTCGATCGGGCAGCATCACCAGCACGGCCAGCGGAGGCATCACCATCCTGAGTCACCAGTTCTACCCACAGCAACAGCAGCAGCAACATCGTCATCCGGCGCTGACTGGCGGCAGCAGCAGCATCGATTTCGGGGACATGGCACACGGACTGCGCCAACATCAGCAGCAGCAGCAGCAGCAGCAGCAGCAGCAACAGCAGCAACATCTCTACCAGCAGCAGCAACATCATCATCAGTTCATGCGGTAAGTCAACAAAATAAATGAGCTCACCTTGGCGAACAGCGAAACGGCAATTGACGTCACACACGATGGCAATTACAGCGGATTTTCGGATTTCGAATTTCGGATTTCAGATAAATAGAAAATAGCACACACGTTTACATCGTTTTCATATCTACAAACAAAATCTAGTGTCTTATTTAAGACAATTTGCAGTATCTAAGTTGAAAATTGTGTTTTAATTGATTATATTAAATCATATGTTGAGTCAAGAGTTGACTCTAAATTTATTTTAAATTCAAATTTATATATCCGATCACATTGTGTCCTTTATGCCAATTTGTTGTTTTTGAAGTGATGATTGCTTGTTAACTATTATCTTTTAAATGATGATCATCATTTCACATAATTTTGGTAACTGTTAGTAGAGTTTTCTTTGGAATAGAATATGGCTACAACCATTCTTGAATTTGTATTGTCTTTTTAATTTTTAAATGTATTACCGATCACATTGTAGTCCTAGTGCCAAAAATATTTAATGTTCATTGTTGAGTGGTTACATAGTTTTTTTTCTGTTTAATTTAACTATAAACATTCTTAACCGTCATGAATTTTTAGTGTTTTTAAATTCTCAAATGTATTACCGAATTTATTAACTGTCAAAGTTTTGAGAAACAACATAGAATAGGACCTGAAAATATATAACCTTTCAAACGATTTCGCAAAATATTAGTGATAAGTCTAAGGAAAAAACGGCCCAAAAGATTAGGAGATTTCCGTGGCCAATCTAATCATGTCCATAAGCCCACACCCATAAATGACCAGACTTAGTGTTGGTTCCGCCTTGTTGCCTTTGTTTATTGAATGTGTAATTTTTGTGTAGTGTGCATAACTCCGCTTGAAAACAAAAAAGAATCAGATGCCGCCAGTGGGCAGTACTTGGAAGCCATCCAGGAACTTGGCCACGGGGATCGCCAGAGAGAAGAGTCCGTAGCTCTTGACAAAGGTCCACAAGAAGTGATCGTTGTAGATGATCGATAGGGTAGAACGCGCCATTCGCAGCAGTTGAAGCGGTTTCTTTTTCTCCACCATAGCGCCAGAAAACTGCCAGAGAATTTTGGATTCAGAAGGGTTTACGAAACTTTTTGATGAAAACAAAAAACTCACCCAATTACTCGATTCAATGGGAAGAAAAATTACACAGATTTTTTTCTAACAAAAATTCCGAGGTGTGTGCTCTCCTAAAACGAAAATTAAACTGAACTGTTCAAACTAGTTGAATCGAGACAACAGAAACTCTGAAACCTCCAGGACAACTAGATTCCTAAGAAATTCTGCCTTTGAGTTCAAATTTCAGACTACTTAGGGAGTTTTTTGAAAAGATATTAAAGTTAAATAATGGCACTTTTAAATGCAATTTGCTCCACTGTGCAGTGGCAATCTGTTGTGATTTATGGTGGCAAAAGTTGAGAGGCGGTCAGTCTTCTCTTCTGTCTTTAATAGCATATGCATACATATTTATGTACGATTGTGTATGCATATTGCACATTATTTCACTTTCATTGCCAGCAAAAAATCAACGAAATAAATAAGTGAAAACCCAATATTCGAAATTGGAAACGAGAAATGCTGAACGGTTGAGGGGCAGGAAAAGCAGGAGAAGCCGATGGAAAAATGGATGCAGGGGCAGAGATGCAAAATTAGGCTGATGAACTAAATGACATTAACTAACCGCCTAATGAACAACAACTGACGGCGAACAATGCACATAATTAAAAACAATTGTAAACGAACTCTATGCGAAAGGTTTTCCAGCCCCTCGAGGCAAACCCCCCATAAATATTTCCATTTTCATTTGATCTCTGACACTAGACTTCGATTTTATGGAGTGTCTACATATAAGTCCTGAATATTTTGGGCAATTATAAGTTATAATACGAAATAATATTATAAAATAAGTTATTATTTATTATAGCAAACTTTTTAGTACTGCCAATTATTTGGCATTATCTTATATGATGATGATGATGACCGCATACCATCACCGTGGGCATGGGGCAATTTCCCCATCCTTGGGCTCTACATATCTATGAAACCATATAGACCAGAATCGGCAGACGAGTATTGGTCGCCATTGTGGCTGCGATGGGGCCTTTTCGGTGATTTCATCCTCATTTCCCCCCGGGACCCGAGACCCGAGACACGGATCCCGAAAACCCACTCCATTTTTCCTTCATCTGGCGTTCTCATTTCGTACATTCCTCATTTCAGTCTCATTTCATTCATCGCTCGTCTCTCGCTTATATTTCCATGCATATTTGTCATTGTTTTGCGTCTGTCTGTTCTGAATGAAAATTATTTTCCATATATTTCCCACTGTCTGTATGGGATGGGGATGTGCAAAAATTATTTATTATTTCGTATTCTATAAAAAGTTCATGTGACGTCAGCGGAGACATTACATGCGTAGTATAGAAGTGAGTGCTGCCCTTTCTCCAGATTCTAAAAGGTCAATTGAAGGGAATAAGGATACAGTTTCGAACTTAGGGAAATATTGATGGAAAATAGAAGAACCACTAGTTTAATTAGATATTGTGGTAGCAACGAGCTCGAACCATTCATTTCTTCCCCCTAATCAGACTCCCATTTGTATAATCTTTCTTTGTTTGAAATTTCTCTTATTCTTTTTGGAAAGTTTGTCACGTTTCCAGTTGCAAGTTGCATGTGCAATTTTCAAATTACGTGAGTCGGATTGGGCAAACTTTTGTGAACATCCAAAGAACTGTCGGTTGAAAATGAGTATACACGTCTACTGACCGACTGAATCTTTTGATTGTGAGATAACTCCGGAAAACGGACAGTCGCCCCATGGAGTGATTGATTATTGATTGCTTTTCATGTGTGCATTGTTGTTACTTAATTAACAAATGCAATTAATTAAGTTACCTTTTTCTTACTGATTGTTGGGCAATGTTGCTGGGGCTAGTTTAAGTGCTATGTAAACTGATTTTATGAGAGGTTAAACCTTGCTAAAAGCTTTTACTCACATATTTCTGCACCCGCATAAATTATTGAGAATTATTTCAATATTCAAAACGCAATATCGGACATTTTTCAACGCCCCCGCAGTCGCATTGCGTATACGCAGCTTGGCTGCACACGAATATGAATAAATAAATCAATTATTATTATGCAGTAACAAAAACCCATTGACTAATCGGGGGGAAAAAAATGAAAAAAATAATAATAAATAAATAACCGCATAACTTTATGCACACACACAGCACAATCGAGTGTAAATGGACACCTCGCAACAATAACAATAAATTTGTTGAACTGCAAAAGGCGAATATTTGCTCCATTGTTAAATGATTACGATAAATTTAATTGAATTTTGTATGCCAGCAAAGCGAAGAATGGGAGGAAATAATAATGCCTTCAATTCCCGCAGACATCAAGACGTCGTCTTCTCGACTCGTCCCTTCCGCTTCTCGGTCTTCAAGCGAATGAGGGTTTTATCTTTTCGAGATGGCGATGGAAATTGAGACGACTCAGATTCAGATTCAGATTCAGATTCAGATTCAGATTGAGTTTGAGTTGATCTTGCGACTCGGCAGGAGGCCCTATTCAAATTATTGACTACTCCAGGCATTCCAAACGTGCCACCAGAGTAATGTGCACTGGGAAAAACAGATGGTGCCTTTTAAGGGCTTGCAAATACATATAGATATTGTATGTACAATCCCTATCAATTGATTGATTGATTGCTTGATCGACTGACTGATTGATGGCTGGCGAAAATATGTCATCGGAAATGCAAAACTCAATTTTTGGTGCGTAACATTGCGTGCACAGTGGTTACGATTTGGGGAAAATAATTTTAATGATTTAATTTGTAACTATATATTTAATTTTTTGTCTATATTGTAGCTGTTAATAAAATTCATATGAATAATAATTTAAAATTTTTTTTATAAATACCAAGCAATGTGTTTTGGTACCACTGTGCATTGTACAAATTTAACTGCTTTGCTTTCACAATTACGTATACGCCCTGCGGTTGGGTGGGATAGCCCCCAGCCACTCCCCCCCCCCCCCACGCCCACTCGGTAAATAAATAAACAAGGCAAGGTTAGTCGAGGGGGGGGGGGGGCGATTGAAGGGTGTAGCATGTAGTATGTAGTATGGGGTATATATTTGGTCAGTCGGTGACTGATAGTGATATAGTGATTCCCACTCTCTCCTGTTCGACCATCCTGTGCAAACTGTGGGCAGCTCCCCTCGCCCACTGACCGCCCCTCACTTCTTTTTTATTTGTTTATCTATTTATTGGTTATAAAATACAGTACGCACTAGAATTGCTATATTACGGGTAGTTGCGAGGACTTAAATAGGGGAGGGTTTAATATTAACCTAGTAGTAATATATGGTTATTAATGGAATAGGATAAAAGAGAATAAAAAAGAATAGATTTTTTCGGATTTTTTTTTTGTATATTAAAAGAATTATGGTTCATAAAGAATTCTTACAATATGTATTTGGTATTATTTGGCTTTTGGTGTCTCTTTTCTAAACGAAATTTCAATGGTTTTTTGTATTACCAACTATATATGGGTTTCCAATCATTTTATTGTCAATTGGATTTCTTTTATCCGCCAAAGTTTCGATAACGTGTGATAATAATAACAATTTTTTTTTTTTTTTTTTGAGAATTGTAGTGTTTTGACTTTAAACGAAGATTGTACTCCCAAATGTACTTTAATAACAAAAGGATAGAGGGGTTCCTGCCAAGAGGACCTGTATGGTGTATGATAAATTCCAGTTCACTCCCGGTGTGATCACTGTACTGAAATAATAAAAAAGGGAATCAAGCGAGAGGAGAGCATCGGTCGGTGGGTCGTTCGCCATTCGGTCGCTGCCCACTCAATGGGACTCTTTCAATTGCTGAGCCTCTGCCGCTCTTTAATACGAATTTCATACATGCATACAAAGCCAATTTTTGCTGTGCCTTCTTTTTTATTTGTATTTTTTCCATTTTTTTTTTTTTTTTTTTTTTTGTATTTATTTTAGTTTAGTCGCATGGACTTTGCGTAGTACTTTAGTTTAGTTGACGATGGCGAGCGGTTCGGCAGATTTCAGATTTTGTGATACGCGGGCAAACGAAGTTTTCTGTAATTTTAATTTATTTATTAGCATATTTTTTAGGGAATTGTGAGTTGTGTTTTGTGATGAAGTGACTGCCATACACTGCCAGAAAAATGTACGCGCTACCATTGAGTGGCGACAAAAGGCCCATGCTTATACAAATGAAAATGATACGTTTCGAGATCGATTCCAATATTGAAAACAGGTTAATTTGCCATTTCTTCACTTGTTATTGTTATTATTTTTATTCTGTGCTGCTCTCTTTTGATGATGAAGTGTGAAATAAAAGCCAAGCATTTTGAGAACATAACAAGAATCAACAGTTTGCAGAGACCTTGTCCGAAAAACCAAAAAAAGTACATTAGATCAAGAGTTCAAGTGTTTTCAATGAGGCGAAGATCAAAGCGTCGATGGCGACTCCCCCGCCAGAAACTATTAGAAACGAAGACCACAATGAACGTGACTTGTGTAAAGGTTTGCCGGCGCCCTTGAAAAGGTTCCAATCAATGGGTTCCGTCAGTTCGGAGTGGAGGAAAAAATTCCAATCGTCTCGGAAAGAGAGTGTTTCTTTCTATCAAAAAGCCAGTCCCTTTTGAGTAAAATGTATTTAGCATTTCTGTAAAGAAAATATTAAAGATACTTACACTGCATTCCCTGTACAAAAACCCATTTTGAGTAATTTAAACTTCTTGAGATTTAATTTAGAAATATATACTTTAAGAAAGATAAATTCAATGATCTTGTAAAAAGAAAAAATTCTTTCATATGTTCAATGATACAGAACAGGAAATAAACCTTGCAAGGAAATTTGATACAACTGAGGGCTTGAATTTCCAAACAAAAACTTGTTTAGAGGTGAAATTGTGGAATCGGCGGAAATTACACACCGGGAGAAAATGAGAGTGCGTGAGTGGGTGTGTTGCGACAGGTTCTCTCCCTCTTTTCGCCGCTTATCAAATGTGTCAACAATTTTTTTATTTACGACTTGTTAATTGCAAAGAGTCGCAAGAGTTGGCGAAACGCAAATCGGAAGGCAGAAAATAATACAAAATATGCCCACGGTGCATACAACGAGCAGACAATAAAGCGCGAAATTCCGCACGGAGAAAGGGAGAGAGCTTATATACATGTATGGATGTATTCACGTACCCCCTATAGAAACAGATACGGCTAATTCGCTGGCCGCCTTTATCGATACGCAACAACAATATGGGATATATGCCCAGTGTACACATATGGGGGTGATAAGGGCTTTCGGGCGATGAATCAAATCGAACTGAATTGTATGCGAGTCACTTGTGTCGAAGCTTTTCTGCACCAGACTAAAGTGCACCGAAAGAAATTTGAGATACCAACTAATAATATTGTTTGCCCTACTAAATCTATACGTTTTTCAAATTGTTAAAAGTCACCGAATGCCATAAAGGATATTGTGCACTTATTTTGTATCTGTTCTAACAACAGTTTTTGCCCAGTGTAGAACCCACATATTGAATATTTTATATAGAGCTTATGCATAGATAATAATGCCACCGAATAATCACGAATTCATATGCTGGGGACACGCGCTCCTGATCCAAAGTATTTCTCTTCTTTTTTTTGCCATTGCTACCTGCTCTGCCGCTGCACAGTGGGCCAAGATGGGAGTTAATCCAGCAAAAATTGAAACACTTATTTTTATGTTCTCATCATTATTTTAATAGTAAAAATAATAATAAATATGATCTAAATACGTTAAGGTTTATATACATGGGTTTTTGAGGAGATTATGATAGAAAAAACTCGATTCATTTTTTTTTGGTATAAACACTGACTTCATGACTTACTTTCCCTTAAATGAGATTTTATGCAAAAGCATTTTTTTTTAATGATTTATAAAATCATAATTTCATGTAAGCTGAATATTACAATTGGTTTTGTAGACAAAATTGTAGTTGTACGGGTATTAATATATTAATATTTTATGAATTGGCAGATGGCTTTGTATAAAATCACATAAGATCCGACACTTGATTATGATAATTTTTATGTTTTACCAATAAAATATAACACATTCCGAATTGGCAGATGGCCATATACTTTTGCCCACTGTGCACTGAAAGCTAGGCAATGGAAATATGTGTGCGTTTCCTTTATTCTGCGACCTGTGAAATATGATCCAGGGACATGGGAGGGGACGGGGTGGCCATCTATTCATTACCTTTTGACCTTGACAGTCTGCCGGGGTTTTGAGCCTTTTGAGTGTGGGAAAGGCTTTTAAAAGCGAATTGAATTAACCATCCTGGCGCACACACACTGTCATTTACCATACTATTTTTAGCTTTGAACTTTCGTTTGACAATCTCAGAGGCAGAGAGGTGAGCGGTATGGTGTATGGTATAAGGGATGTGGGCTGTGGGATGCAGGAAATGTAGGTATAGTTAAACTAATTTGCCATTTCTAGTGGCACCGCAGCCGAGAGGCTAAAACCCGATACGCAAATGCTCCTTCTTTGTGCGACGCCACATGGAACTTAATTATTCGAGCTGCTCTCAGCCACTTAAACGATGGCCCAAATCTAATTTGTTTTGTTTGCCTGCCTGCCTGCCGTTGGTTTATTGAGTGTCCACTGTAGTGGTGGCGGCGGTGGTGGAACAACTAAAACTACAAACATCCAACAACATGGGAAAATGTCCAAAAAACCGGTCCGCAATTTGACATTTTCACATATCACAAAAGGCTTTTAGCCATGAACTTCCATGTGTATCTACTTGACATTCATGTCAATTAGGGATGTCAGCGGAAAATGCAGAAATTTTGACAAACCCGTGGGTTTGATTGCAATTTCAAGTTCATTGCTAAATATTTTATAGATTTTTCATCAACTTAATTAAGCTACCAAATTTTCGGTTAGACAACTGTTTTCATTGTGTGCGGTCATTATAGTTGTTGCGGCGCAAATTGGAAAGGTAAAACTTTTCCCAACCGACGAGTGACGTACGAATATGTTAAACGCATTGTTTAGCTTCCGAATCCCCCTCTGGTTAGTCTGTAAGTCATGGTTGGGTGAAAATAAAATCTAAATTCATGTTTTTCACACAAAAAACTTGCATCTAGCCCCATGACAGTTATAAATTAGATTGGCGGTAAAGGAAGTGGCTTTGTTTTCAAAATAAATGAATTACATTATATAAGATATTACAAAACCTTTAGGGTTTAAACAAAATATATTTATCAAGAACTCAGTAGTTAACTCTCCTTTTTACCTGCTATGGTCACTCTTTGTCTTATTTCACATCTTTGTGGTGCTGCTTAAAATCTACATTTACTAATTAGTTGCACTTGAGATATTCAAACGGAAGCACAATTAAATTGAAATAAGAATAGTTGGCTATAGATATGTTTTCCGCAAAATAGGGAATGGAATTTGGCTATAGGTCGGCGATCGTGATCGGCGTACGCGATCGCGAGTATTGCGCATGCGCCGCGTGTGACGACAGCGATGGCGATTGAAAACCCATTGATTGACTGACAAACTGACAAAATGACGATGGCACGTGCCGTCAAAAAGTGGGAGGCCCACTTGGAGCGTCGCACTGCTTTTGGCCGTTGGCCAATTTGGAGCTACTGCGTCTGCTGATTCAATTGACAAATATTTTTGTTTTGCAAAAAAATTAACGGCCGCACAGCAAAATGTCTAGATCCGCCAACAGAAGCACTTTTGCTTGATTATTCCGAGGCAAATAGAGAGGCAGACTGTTGCTTTTGGTGCTTAAATAGTGAAATTTACATTGTTTAAATAAGTATAATTTATATTTATCTATTATGGTATAGTGTTTAGCTTTGGTACCTAAGTTTGTACTATTAAAAGACACAGATAATGGGTTTTTAATGGTATAATAATAAGTGGCCTTAATAATATTTAAAGCTATGCGGGATTGCTTGGAACAAAAAGGCTGTTATACATTGCCTAAACTTAAATTAAGGTATTAAAAATTGTGTGAGTGTTAAAAATGTGAAATCTTTTTTTTTTTTAGCGATCGGTTGGCTTTTTTTACAAAACTAAAACTAGATTAGTTTTATATTTTATCCATATTTTATGAAAACATTTTTAATTCAAAGAAATGTAACTGGAAATCGTATATTAAGAATACTAGTTCGCATAAAATCCGACGTCTAGTAATAACACATGTAATACGTATGCCCACTATAAGAACTAAAATGATATTAAATGTACTTAATTCTTGTTTACCTCTTTTTAATGTCTGAAATTTCGTTTGTTATATTTTTGCAGTGCCAATCAGCCGCCAAATTTAACAGTATTATCGGCCAGCTCGGCAACGAACACGCCCACACCCACGCCCACTGCCCGCCAGCCCAAATCCTCGACAGCCCTCAGCCAGGCGTTGTATGCGGTCAGCGCGGGTCCCGGTCCCAGTTCCGGTTCGGCGGCAGGATCTGGTTCGGGACCCCATTCGGGGGGCAGCGAGAACAGCGACCTGATGATCCGTCTGCGCGAGTCCATCAAGCAGAAGGAGGAGTTCCTCAAGTCGCCGGTGCCCGCCTCCCTGTCCTCCTCCGCCTCCTCGACCAACGGCAATCAGGCGCAATCCTCCTCGCCGGCGGCACAGCAGCAGCATCTGCAGCAGCACCAGCAGCACTTCTTTCCCTCGCACACGCCGCCAGGTGGTGGTGTCCAAGTGGTGGTGCCACCGCCGCGCAGTCGCCACCAAGTGCTGCTCAAGCAGCAGCAACAGCAACAGCAGCAGATGGATCATGTCTTGGGCTTCGATTTGTACTATTCCGGTGGCAAGCTAGTGCAGCGATCTTCCACAGCTCCTAGCAGTGTGAGCCACCACCACCAGGTGCAGCAACAGCAGCAACACCAGCAGCAACTTCAGCACCACCACCAGCAACATCAGCAGATCCAGCAGCAGCAACACCGCCAGGTGATGATCAACAACAACGCAAAGTATGCCAAGGAACTGGACTATTTTGAGACGCTGCAGGAAACAGGTGTCACCAACAAGGTGTAAGTAGATCCAAATCTTAAGGTGGCTGTAAACGATGAAGCGGTACCCAGCTGATTGTAAACGATGAAGGCGTAGCATTATATAGACTGTACCGTGTACAAGCAGCTTAAAGAAAGTGGACCTACAATACCAGTAATACTATATAGACCCAAACATTAGAGTTGTTGTATCGTTTTCAAGCAGCTTAATGAAAGTACATGTATATAACATTCCTAGCAGCTTGTTAAAAGTGCCTATAAAATACCAGTGTTATAACATAGATCACCTCTCTCAATCCACAGTTTCGAGCGCAAACTGGTGTCGCACATGTCCAAGGGCTTCGATCCCTTCAAGCCGCTGTCGATCAACACCAGTGCCCTGGAGTCCTCGGCCAGCACGTCGAGCAGCTCGACCACGACGACGGTGAAGAAGCAGAGTGTGCTGTACGAGTCCCTGCAGCAGCATCCGCTGGCCAAGTACCACCAGACGCAGCAGCAACACCAGCAGCATCAGATGACGACCTCGACCACGACGACGGTGGATGGACAGACGAGCAGTCGGATGGAGCTGCACAAGGCGACGCTGGCGAATGCCACCATCGATCCGGTGCCCGTGGGACCCAGCAGTGAGTCGCCTAGTCCTTGGACTAACCCCATCCACCTTGTCGGCAATTAAGTTATTAAGCAACAATCGTTTTTTTCTTTTTAATTATTTGGTGCAGAGTTTGTGGCGATGCCGGATAAGCCGCCCGCGGGTTCCTCCGTTGCCACCTTGGCGGACATTGCCGAGAGCAGTGGTAGGTCCTATCTATGGTTAATTACAGTTGGATAATCCCATAAAACTGGGCATTTTTTCTATTACCTACTGTTCTTGCTATCATAAAATATTAACATATTACATTTAAAATGATATATTCTTGTTTGAGTGTTGTAATTGTCACATATTATCAATTTTATATGTTTTTGTATAAAATTGGTGGGGGTCTGAGATCTTAACCGTTTAAAAGTACAGATATTTTAAACAGTTTAAATGTGATATTTTCAATAGACCGCCGCAATTTTCTTAGGAAACTTTAAGTTATTACGTTTTATAATTATTCACTTATTCAAATTTATTTATTAAAATAATGTGTGAATTCTTTTCAATTCTATATGTTTCTTTATAAGTATGATTCTTAAGGGTTTGAGTTCAGATATTTTAAACTTAGCTTCAACAGAAACAGTTGAAATGTGATAGACATTTAATAGCTCCTGCAATTTCCTTAGAAAAGTTCAAGCAATTACCTTCAGCGGATTGTTCTTAATATTTAAAACGATATTAATGACTTTTTGCTGCTAGGAATATCCAGCAAATTGGACACGCACACAAATTAGTACAGCGTAATTAGAAATTATTATCAAGGTCCTGCAAAACGTAACAGCTTAAATTGGGAATACTTTTCACACATACATATGTGGGTCCGCTTTTAACGCACTTAGGCAGTATTAAATATTTTATTAAGTCCGTGGATGATATAAGCCGGTAATCCATTTATTTTTCTCCATATTTGCAGCGGCAGCCATCGTGGACTGTGCTGTGGGCAGCGGCAACGTGGTGCGGCGCTACAAACCACTATCCTCCAGCTCCTTTGACGAAGGCAAACCGATGCGCAGGATCTCGTATCTGCGGGCCACCAACAACGAGGCCGACTTTAATGCGGAAGCGTCAGCTAGCGGAGATGCCGCCGTAGCTGCAGCAGCAGGATCGGCATCCGTTCCAGCAGCTCCACCTCTAGCTGGAACTGCTCCTTCCTCAGCCGCCCCACCAACTGCACCCGCATCCGCTCCCGCTCCAGCACCCGCTCCTCTGCCCATTTCGATCCCCATGCCGGTGGCCGCTGTCGTGGAGCCGCAGAAGACGAAATCCCTGGTGGAGGAGCATCCGGATCCCACCTACGATGTGATCGGTGGCACTGGTGGCGGCCACGAGTTCATCGAAACGCCGAATGGCTTGGAGGATGTGCGTCTATCTGCCCACGGAAGTCGCAGGGCCTCCATGAGCAGCGACATGCGAAGCAGGTGCGTTGGACAAAGAGCTGAAATCATATCAAGCTACAGAAACAGTATAAACTTAAAATATGCGACAGATAAGTGTAGAAATATTTCGAGTTTCTATGACAGCTTTATGATATAGTCTTCAGAAACTCTTAGATCCAAAAAAATCTTCCACCCCAGGGTGTATGGGGTCGAAATGTCTCCTTCACTGCGTGGCAACATTCTGATTGAATTAATAATACCTTCTGCAGGGGTATATTAAACAAGTATTTGATATTAATCACTCTTGTATTACATAGTATCCACATCGATGCCGAGTTGAATGGAAAATATGTGCCCAACGAACTGGAGGCCTTCGAAACGGAGATCGAGATCAAGTCCTCTTGCATCAATGGAAAGGTGGGTGGTCATCTTCCTAAGCAAGTCATATAAAGGATATTAATTGCATCCATAATCCGTACAGCGCATGTCCGAGTACCGATCGTGGCGTCAGGTGAAGCTGGAGATCAAGGGCGATCTGCTGCGCATCTACTCAGGCCGCCATGCCAAATCGGAGCACAATGTGAGTGTATATCACAGGGTATAGCCCATGTGTACCATGAACTAATGGCCCATATCCAATTCCCACCAGGTGATAGAACTCGATATTAGAAACTTTAAGTTCTTCGACGAGTCGCTGGACAAGAAGAAGTACTTGATCCGCATGCAGTCGAAGCCATCGCCCAGTGGCGCCCACCTGGCCTCGCTGGGCAACGAGTTGAACCTGGACGAGGGTCACCCGGACAAGCTGCTGACCTCCTCGGGCAGCAGCAGTGTGAACGAACCCGCTGCCAACTCCACGTCGGCCCTCACCGCATCCACCTCCTCGTCCACCAGCAGCAGTGGTCCCTACACGGAGATCCTGTTCAAGACCAAGAGCAGCAACGAGATGAAGCGTCTCTTCGGACTGCTGCAGTGGAAGGACAGCCTCAACTACGATGATAATGTGAGTAGGTGAACATATTCTGAAGAACATCTAACATAACTATTACCTTCAAGCAGGAGCATCAGCAGCAGGGCAAGCAACTGGCGGAGCCGCAGAAGACAGTGGCTAGCGCCAGCTATCTGGACGACGTCCAGGGCGGAGCAGCGGACAGTTCCCCCCTGAGCTCCCATTCGGGCGGGATTGCCGAGGCCAGCGGCGGCCACCATCATGTTTCCGCGCTGCCAGCAGCTGCGGCCATTGTGGCGGCCACCAGCGACTCAATATCGCCGGTGATGAAGGCCAGGAAGTCCAGCTCGCACAAGCATATACCCGACAAGGATCTGGGCTCGCCCAAGTCGAAGAACTGGAAGGATTTGCTCTTCCGTCGCGGCGGCAGTGGCAGCGGAGGAGTCTCCCACCACGACCTGGCCTCGCCATCCGCCTGCGCGGCCAAGCAGATCGGCTCCATCGGCGTGCCCCTGCGTAGCTGCCCCATGTCGAAGGTCAATGGCCATGTGCCGCACCTGGTGGAGGTGTGCACGAACATCGTGGAGACGAAGGGCCTGGGCGTGGTGGGCATCTACCGCATACCCGGCAACAAGGCGGCCATATCGGAGCTGTCCGAGCTGGTCAACACCAAGGACTTCCAGTTTGAGAGCTGTGCCACCGATGACCGCTGGGAGGATGTGAATGTGGTGAGCAGCCTGCTCAAGCTGTTCATCCGCAGCCTGCCGGATGCCCTGATGCCGGCCAACTACTATATCAATTTCATCGAGGCGGACAAGAAGTTCGGCCTGGAGAGGATCGTGCTGCTGCGCGAGATTGTGGAGTCGCTGCCGCGACATCCGTACGAGACCATGAAGCACTTGATTCGGCATCTGTGCCGGGTGAGCGGCAACTGCGAGGTGAACCGCATGGAGCCCAAGAACCTGGCCATCATCTTCGGGCCCTCGATAATCAGGACGCCGAATGACACCCTGGAAACGGCGGTAAAGGACATGAAGCACCAGTGCCGCATCGTGGAGCTGCTGGTCACACAGGTGAGGGGTCCTGGAGTCTAGGGTTTTATAGGATTCTGACATAATTTATTATTTCAATTCCAGTACGAGTACTTCTTCGAGGGTGGCAGTCTGCCGGATTTGGCGGAGGTGAGCGGCGGTAACGCCGCCGTGAACGCCGCCCAGCCGCAGCAGCAGACGCAGGAGGACCAGACGAGCATGCTGCTGCACAACCTGTCGAAGATCGAGCGGATCACCGAGCGCGAGACCACGCGCACCTCGCGCTTCATGCCCCAGCTGCGGCGCAAGACCCATGGCAAGCGTAGTGCCGTGAACTCGGACACGTACTCTGGCGAGAGTGTTCTGGTAAGCGGGAGCTCCTCCTCCACCACCACAACCACCAACACCACCACCACCACCCACACCACAAGTAGTAGCACAAGTAGTAGCAACACCATCACCACAACCATCAGCACCACCACCATCCAGCAGCGACGGGCGCAGCGCAAGGCTGTGCAGAGCATTTGCGACCAGGCTCTAATCCTGCTCCTGCCCACACCCGTTTCCTCCGTCTCTCTTCCCTTTCAGTCGCTGGACTACGCCAAGGTGTCCACATCCGCCTCGGCCTCGGCATCGGCCAGCAGCACCGCCAGCACCTCGAGCAGCTCGACCCTGCACAGCGGTAAGGCATCGTCCTCATCGAGTTCCACCGCCAAGTTCAGCTCCTCTTCATCGTCGGCCTCCTCGACCACGGCGGTGGCCGTCTCCTCCTCCATCTCGGCCACCTCCTCCAAGCTGCTGAGCGCAAATTTCAAGAAGCGCAGCACGGGAGGATTCCTCGGCTCGAGATCCTCGCACCAGACGCGCAAGGCCAGCCTGGATGAGAAGGACTCGGGCCAGTCGTCGGGGAGTCTGGCCCACAGCCTGGGCGTGGGCCTCAATCTGGCCAAGGAGCAGCAGCGCAGCAGCGTGGACATATCGATCCTGCTCACGGACGACGACTCCAGCAGCAGGCTCAGCGATACGGGTAAGTGGCTTGGCGATGCCCTGATGAAATGAGGAAGTATTAATCCCAAACCCTTACTGCCAGGTTCCATGTCACTGACCACTATCACGGACACGCTGGACAGCAAGCTGCGCAACCTGCGCAGTGGCTCCGAGTCGAACGACGAGAACGGGTCGCCCGAGTTCCCCAAGAACCGGCGGCACACCCTAGGCCAGCCGCTGCACCTGCACTCCGAGAACATTCCGTATGCGGACGAGTCGCCCGAGCGGCTGTTCCATCAGTTTTGTAATCCCCTTGACGCGGCCCCCCTGTCGCTGCACCTGAGTCGCTCCTGCACGGCCACCAACACGATTGGCGCTGGCGACGAAAAGCCATCGAAGCAGGCGAGTGGAGTGGCTCCACTGCCGCCGAGTCTGCTAAAGGCGGCCCACAAGCTGCAGCACTCGGCCACGGTGCCCATTCATCAGGGCAGCTCCACGGCGCCGACCAGTGGAGCAGCCACGCCCGTAGGCACGCCAACTGGGAGCAGCAGTGGCGCCGGAGCCATTCCCTCGCGCAGCTCCTCGAGCAGCGTGACGACGCTGACAAAGAGCATACATCCCAGATTCAGCAACTACTTGAGCTACGAGCGGAGCAGTGCGGCGTCCGCCGCTGGGGGAGTCGAACGCTCGGCAGTGGCATCCGCCGCCGGAGGAGCAGCCTCCGAAGACGACTCCGAGGGCTCCACGACCAGCGATCCCAAGGAGAAGCTGCTGCTCGGCGAGCGGCCGTCGCCGTCGTTTTTTCTCGAGCGCTACAACAAGAAGAGACGCGATCATCGGTTATTTCGGAGTGCCAGCTTCAATTGCCGGAACTACTCCACCCGACACATGACGGCACAGGCGTCCTCCTCCGGAGGCGGAGGATCGGCGGGGGGAGTAGCGGGCGGAGTAGCTGGACCGGCGGTGGCGGTGGGCGTTGCCTGCTGCCAGGCACTGAGTGCCACCGGTCTGACCAAGGACGAGAAGACTGACATGAACCTGACCAAGAAGCGCCAGATCCAAAACAAGCAGAATCGTTCGATTAAGCGGCGGCACACGGTGGGCGGACCGCACGACTACTCCGCCAGCAATGGCAGCTGCTCGAATCACAGCCACGGTCACGACCTGGCGGCCATCAATTACAATCACCACAATCGCCACCACCAGCAGCAGTTGCTCAAGCTGGGCAGCGCCACATCGGCCGGCGGAGGCGGTGGCGCAGCGGCGGCCGAGACGACGACCACCACAACGACCACCACCACGGTGCTGCGCCGTCTTGGAGCAGCGGCTGCCGCTCAAGCTGGCGCCGAAGCCAGCGTGGCCCTGCCAGGATCAGGATCTGGATCCAGCAGCAGCAACAACAACAACTCGCCGCAAAGCGATGGCAGCAACGGCAACGGTGGTGGTGTGGCGGGAGTGCCCTTGAGTGCACAGCCATCTGGATCGGGGGTGGTCACCAACAGCAGCAGCGGCGGCAGCAGCAACAGCAGCTCCACCAGCACCACTCCTGCTGGGGATCAGGTCCTGGAAGTGGGCATACGCATCAAGAACATCAACCGAGGCCGCTTCTAAAATCCGTTTCACATGGTTCACACAGTCTGTCTGCTGAACTCACATTTAAAAAGAAGCAAACATAAAACAACGTTTTAAGGAACCTGATTAAAACATGGTTTATACACCATATCATAACGTAATGGAACCACCCTAAAATAGCAGTTGCTTTACAACCACAGTTTACACGAGTATTAACAGGGTTTAATATGAAAACAAAAACATAAGATGAATATATTTAACAATAGTCCGTTAAACACACAAATGCTAAACACACATTTTAAAACCAAAAGTTTAAATGAATGTTAACCTGAGCAAAGTTGCTAAAAAAATAAGAAATCGTAGTAGCAAGAGTAATTTGAAGACAGCCTGGTAGTCTTGCTTCAAAACTTATTTAAAATCAAGGATATTTGTGGCAAAGCTACTTGAATAGGCGCAAAAATACCTCTAGCTACTTCGATTCTGTTCAAAATAGTCACCATAATCTCTATATTACTATATATCTATATCAACGTACAGTTGCAATGTTCGAATGTCCGAATTGGGTTTTAAAAGTTAATCAAATGGAGTGTTGGAATAGATTTGATTGCAAAACCAATCAGGAGATCAGTCGAGATACGTATTATCACATATTCTACCACGATATATTATATATTCATGTGCAGATCCCCGGGAGTTGTGTCGAAAATATAGAAAACTATGAATATAAAGTTAAAAACCAAGCAGACCAACAGGAATAAATAAGGTGCGTTAAGATGATTAGTTGGCACAGATCCGAGATTGAACGGCTAAATGCACTGTAACAAGAACGAACAACTCCCAGGGGAAAAGAAATCTTAACAATGCAACGCAGAAAAAACAATCTTAGATGAAAAAAACTATACGAGGGCAGGAAGTAATTTATTCGCACACACAAAATACACAAAACACACAGTTTAAATGGGAACCAAGCAAAGAAATATGGATGCAGACAGAGAGAGGTATATATTCGAGAGACAGAGAGAGATACATAGAGCGAGAGGGAGACGGAGAATCAGAGAGAGAGAGAGAGAACTATTTTGTAAAACGTATACAACACAATACAGAAAATCGCATAAATAACCACCTATGTATAGGAACAATCGAATGTGTCGCCTGTCCTAGAAATATCAAGGAGTCCCTCTGACAACTAAGTTGTGCTAGGTCTTTACTAGGAATCCGTTTTTTGTTGTTTAAACGTAGTTTGTTCTTATTTGTGTACCTGTGTACCTGCTGTTAAAAAAAAGTGGACGAAAAGGAGATCCCATTTTTGGTGCCTTAAATTATTTGCTTTAAATTCTGGAAAACCTATTTTTTTATCCACAACAATTTTGTATATTTTTTTGATAAACAAAACCTGTGTTTACCTTTGGCGGTGCTGTAGAAAATGCATTATATAGGTGCAGCTATATATATATATTTACATATATTCCGCACACAAGGTGATGTCTAGGCAGGCGACCAGAGGAAGGATACCATGATCGAAGTGAGGTTTGATTGATAGAGCGACTATATGTTTACCATATAACGCAAGAGAGACGGCATAAATTTACATTTACATATAATATAATATATATTTTTGTGTAGTTTGTATATGATTTAAGTTTGGCAAAACGGAGAACGCATAAAAGTACATGCAAATTTATATGATTAAGCAATTAGGTAATAGTTGTATAGTATTCCTCCCATTTGTTTGCTGTATATACGAATTATTTTTTTTTTGATTTCATTCACAATTATGATTTACACCACCCTTCCCCCCAAAAATGGATATATAAAGGCTTATATATTTTATACGCATTTTGTTTTGTTACCCGAAGACGGAATCAAACTAGAAGGCAGGAGAAAAGTATATAAAAAGAACCCCAAGCGCGCAACGTTGCTATATAAATATTATGATTAACTAAAAACAATTTTTTGTTAGACTTTAGGTAGTTATTTTTTAAAAATTGTATTTTCTATTATACATGTATACATCTATATATATTTTATTTGTATTATGATTTTTTTTCAAACAAAAATAAATGTGGATTTTCTATAATGCTATAAACGACAACACAATAAAAAAGAAACAACCAATATTAAGAATAAAATGTACAAGTATAAACCGGAAGCAAGTTGTTTTAATTACCCCAAGGTTTATTAACTATATATCTGTCCCCGTAAATGGTAATGATCTATGTACAAAATGGCACGGTGAATCGTGGCTCTTAGAGCTTGGCCTGTGGACCCGTTCCCGAGATCTTGTAGACGAACTCGTGGGCCACATCATAGTGCGGGTTGCAGCTCTGGCGCACTCTCTTCAGCCACGCCCGAATTTTGGGATACTTGATCCTAACATCGTAGTCAGCCATGCCTGAAATTTATAAGTAAATATTAATCCATTTAGTATATGTTTTACCAGTGTACTAACGTGTCTGTTCGATTTCGCAGGCTGCAAAGATGTCCGCCACGGAGAGTGCGGATCCGGTGAGGAAGTCCTTGCCCTCCAGCCAGACCTCCTCGACCACGTCCAGATTGCGCTCCATGTGCATGCGGACGGTCTCGATCTTGGCCTCGGAGGGAGTGCGTCCGGTCAGGAGCGGCTCCAGCCACACGGTGCGGAAGTACATGGCGCACGTGAGCCGCAGGGACATGTGCTGCCACTCAAGGAACTCGTCCACGCGACTCTGGTCCACAAAGTACTTGGGATAGAGGTGCTCCGGGATCTTGCCCTTGGCGCTCAAGTAGCGCAGGATGGCCACGCTCTCCGCCAGCTTGTAGCCATTGTCGTGGATGCAGGGCACGCGCTGGAAGCGGTTAATCTGCTGCTTGAAGTCTTCGGTCAAGTGCTCGCCTTGGGGGCAAAGACCGTGGTTAAGATAAGATTGTAGCTATGAACGGCGGGTCGGGGTTCCATGTCTATGCCTTTAAAAAACACCCAAAGATGTTGAGAAAACTATTGAACTTTTAAGGCAATTTTTCAACCCAAAGAAATTCTGTTGACACTTTTCTAGCTCTGCCCAAGACATGGACCCACCCTGATTACCCTTACCATTCCGCAGGGCCACCACACAGTCTTCGAAGGGCATGTTGCTCAGTCGGAAGATAATGAACAACGCCCTCGAGGGCTGCGACATCAGGTCATAGTAGTAGCGAATCGGGGAAGACATTTTCAGGTTCGTTGCCTGTCGAAAGGGAACTGCAACGAAGGCACAGAGCATTAGTCCTATAGCATGGGTAAACAAAAAGGCACCGGTCCAAAGATCACCAACGAATCACCACTGAAAATGCGAAGAACTTCGGGAATTGTATGTATTATACACTCACCCACAAAAACGGTCAGTGGGAGGTAAACTTTTGAGCTCCGATGCAGATCGGTGTATACGAAGAGAAAAATGACAAGAGCGAGCTTTAAGTTACGTATCTTATCAACGAAAAGCTTTGGTTTCAGTAGAGATGGGAATTTACGCGAATATCATATCGGTGCACAGGAAAGTATTGTATTTCCGTAAATATTTTAATAAGAGTGACAAAATATTTTAGAATTAATAATCCAAACGGAAAGAACTAAGATGGAAATATAACTTGTTCACCTAAATTTATTTAGTATTGCGGAATTTGTAATATTCAATATTTAATTGTTATCCGATTTTTATCCCTTAAGATTCCTAGTGAAAGACCTTTTTTCGTTTTGGGTGAAAATTATGTCTAAGGATATTATATATATGTTAATTCACTTAGTAAAAAGCGGTTAAGTAAACTTCCGAAAATAGGTAGTGGATTTTTTCCACTTACCTCTGGCTCGTTCCACCTCGTCAAAGGCCAATTGCAGCTGATCCTCGTCATTGCTGAGTCCAAGTAAACTGGCCAAAAACGACAGCGACATCGCGAGATCTGAATTCTTCTGAACTGAGCCAGCGAATGAGTTGATTGCAGCTGGCTTCTGTATACTTATATACCCCCAAGTTGTGGATGCTCTCCAGAAAATTGACAGAAAATTCGAATGCGACTGCGAGTCAAACAGACAAAAATGAAAGTAAAAATAAGCGCAAGGCAGAATTAACTCTCAAGATAACACACATTTTTCTTTTCTATACCGTCTACACTTAAAAAATACACTTAAAAAGGGATACAACCCCTTACAAAAAATGCAAAATTTCGTCAAAAAATAAATTTCCCGAAAAGTGATAGGGATCGATAGCCTTGGTTGAAAGCTGCTCATAACAGGCGGTCTTTTTGTTATGCGACTCGATTTGACTAAAATACGACCTAAAAACGGCTTAAAAATAACGTATTTTTCGTCAAAAAATAACACTCCCTATTTTTGGGCAAAAAAAATCAGTATTTTGGTCGACAAATTGCGAAATGAGGTCAGAATATGGAATGTGATACCTCGTTGAGCTCGTAATTAAATTCCCAATCAATTGGCATTTAAATCTGAAAAATTTAATTTTTTAACATTTTTCGTAAAAAAAGATGATACAACCCCTTACAAAAAATGCGAAAATGGGTCAAAAAATAAATTTCCCGATTTGTGATATGGATCGATAGCCTTGGTTATTAGCTGCTCATAACAGTCGGTCTTTTTGTTGTGCGCCCCGATTTGACTAAATTACGACATAAAAACGGCCCAAAAATAACGAATTTTTCGTCAAAAAATAAGGTTCCCTATTTTTGCACAAAAAAAATCAGTATTTTGGTCGACAAATGGCGAAATGAGGTCAGAATATGGAATGTGATACCTCGTTGAGCTCGTTTTTAAATTCCCAATCGATTGGCACTTAAATCTGAATTTTTTTTTTTTTTAATTTTTCGAAAAAAATAATGATACAACCCCTCACAAAAAATGCGAATTTTTGTCAAAAAATAAATTTCCCGAAATGTGATGAGGATCGATAGCTTTGGTTGTTAGCTGCTCAGAACAGGCGGTTTTTTGTTATGCGCCTAAATTTGACTAATTTACAACCTAAAAACGGCTTAAAAATAACGTATTTTTCGCCAAAAAATAATACTACCTATTTTTGAGCAAAAAAAATCAGTATTTTGGTCGACAAATGGCGAAATGAGGTCAGAATATGGAATGTGATACCTCGTTGAGCTCGTAACTAAATTCTCAATCGATTGGCACTTAAATCTGAAATTTTTTTTATAAAAAATAAAAATATAATATAATATAAAAAATGCGAAATTTCGTCAAAAAATAAATTTCCCGAAAAGTGATAGGGATCGATAGCCTTGGTTGTTAGCTGCTCATAACAGTCGGTCTTTTTGTTGTGCGCCTCGATTTAACTAAAATACGACCTAAAAACGGCTTAAAAATAACGCATTTTTCTTCAAAAAATAAAGTTCCCCATTTTTGCACAAAAAAAAGCAGTATTTTGGTCGACAAATTGCGAAAAGAAGTCAGATTAAGGAATGTGATACCTCGTTGAGCTCGTAATTAAATTCCCAATCGATTGGCATTAAAATCTTCAAACTTTAATTTTTGAAAAATTTTCGAAAAAAATAGATGTTACAACCCCTTACAAAAAATGCAACATTTCGTCAAAAAATAAATTTCCCGAAAAGTGATGAGGATCGATAGCCTTGGTTGAAAGCTGCTCATAACAGGCGGTCTTTTTGTTATGCGACTCGATTTGACTAAAATACGACCTAAAAACGGCTTAAAAATAACGTATTTTTCGCCAAAAAATAACACTCCCTATTTTTGGGCAAAAAAAAGCAGTATTTTGGTCGACAAATTGCGAAATAAAGTCAGAATATGGAATGTGATACCTCGTTGAACTCGTAATTAAATTCTCAATCGATTGGCATTTAAATATAAAAAAATTTATTTTTTGAAAAATTTTCGAAAAAAAATAGATGATACAACCCCTTACAAAAAATGCGAAGATTGATCAAAAAATAAATTTCCCAAAAGGTGGTTGGGATCGATAGCCTTGGTTGTTAGCTGCTCATAACAATCGGTCTTTTTGTTGTGCGCCCCAATTTGACTAAATAACGACATAAAAACGGTTTAAAAATATCGTATTTGACCAAGCTACGGCTGATAAGCCGCCAAAAAACCGGTATTTTTGTCTAAAATTGCAATAATTTTTTTTTCACCAAAAAAATCGGTATTTTGGCCATAATTTTGCGAAGTAAGGTTTTTTTTCCAGTGTAACTGTACTTCATTCATGCCTTGCCAATCTGACGTATAATCAAAATTTTCTGGGCCATTGGCAACTACGAGTGGCCGGGAATTGAAACTTAAAGGAAGGTCCGTCCTATCGCCAGACAAGGAAATATTGTTTACCTTAAACTCTATGGCAACAGGCTTACGCAGCGATCAGCTGATGGATCGTAATATATCGTACGTTCGATTTGGATATTGATATCTGACCATCCGCCACGAAAACTTCAGTTTTGATTAGGTATATATCGTATATGTGTTATTTATTAATTCCATTTCAAACATACCGACGTCATTTGCTTTGTACTTGTATACATTTATACTATATATATAGATTCATATTCATATCGTGTGGGTGTATATATATATTGTATTTGTAATTGAGATAAAGTGGAGCCGAGGTGTCGTCTACCTCTTGTTTGTCCGGGGAAAGGTACATTTACAAAGAGTATAAGTAAGGTATAAAGATAATCCACAACATTTATACTCGGTGTAGAAAGAGAGATCACACAGTGGGGGAAATAGATATAAGTACGCGTTGACTTTGCATTGTAGATATATATATATATATATTTATATAAAAATTAAATACAATTAAATAAAAATGGAACTCGGTTTGGCTTGGCAGCTTATATATAGATAATAGACACACAAGATCCGACTATATGCCGTGTATATGGATATTTAAGGGTACTTGACTTATTGTTGACTTGATTGTTACACACAATTGGATATTTCTCGCTGGTACAGAGTTTCTTTCGGTTTGGTTTAGTTGAAAGTCGGGGTTACTTTGGAACGGAACTTATTTTTAAAAATTTCTCAATTAGGTATTATGTGGGTGTCTACTTTTTTTGATTTATTTATATTTATCGTTCGATTTGGTAATACACTCGCTTCAGATCAATGTTAAAAAAAGTATTATAGAAACAGGGATGGTAACAATTGTTAATTATGATATTTTCGGTAATTTAAGTAATCAAGGATAAGTATAAGGATCTAAACAAAAAAAACTTTATAGACAATCAAATAGGTTATTATTAGAAAAACCATCAAATAACATCGATATTTCAGTTGAATTAATTCAGATTGTAAATAGTAGTTGATCTGATTTCACTGATAAAACGCACTTTTTGTGTATATATTGATAATTTTATTTGCCTTTTGATAGAACGTGATAATTACATTGTACTCCCCCGATTTTCTCCACATGATATTTGTTTTCTGTATAAAAAACACACGAAAAACAAATTGTTCGAGTGCAAAGTGTGAATATCAGATGTCTATACAGTCGTATAAGGATTTCGTATATAAGATTTCAATCTTTTGTTCAGAGTCTTTTGCATTTGCTGCCCCTGTTTTCTGGTTTCCTTCATTTCTGGGGATATGCGTGAAGAGTTTGGGAAGAACTTACGTAGGCATAAGAATACAGTTAACCATTAGGATTACAGTTACAGTTTCAGTTAGTGTTTTTTTGGGTTGCATACAAATCTAGGTTAAATACTTTATAGCGAAGACATCAATCGACACATACTTATTGTTTGTTAATCCGCTCTTTCGCATTGTCATCTAAATTGTTTTTTTTACTGGTTATCTTTGGCAAACGAAATTTGATTGAACTACGATCTAGACTCTAGAATAATGCTCTATATATTTGGGTTCTATCCAGCTCTTCCACATTCTACTTGTTTTCGATGATCATCTGCAGCTGGAGGACCAGACTCCGGGCCAACTGGAGCACGGATCGGGCATTGTGGCGCTCGGCCATTTCTGGAAAAGTACAGATTATGTTAAATATCATCTAGGTAATTAATAAAGTCTTACGACCGATTTCTCAATGGCATGTTACCTTTTGCCATTAAGGTATATGGCTTTATCGGTGTCATCTAATTTATCAGAAGAAAAGAATAATTTGTTTTTCAGATGCAATTTAACTGTAAGTTAACTTTTGCCGCCAGATAACTGACTAAAACCTTAATCTGACATTGAGAAATTTGCCTTTAAAATGATCCACTTGCCATTGAAGAACTTGATGACATCGGTGAAGTCCATGCTGTTCGAGAGGATGATGTCGCGGTAGGTCTCCAGCAGGGCCAGGGCCAGGAAGAGGACGAAGTGGCCGGAGGCGATGTGCTTGGCCGCCCAGATCACCTCCCAGGTGGCGAAGACGTCGTCGTAGACGAGCTCCCTCTTGAAGTCCAGCAGGAACCACCGGTAGCAGAAGTAGAAGTGCGTGTAGTCGCCGTTCGAGTCCATCAGGTCGTACATCTCGGAGTCGAGAATCTGGATGAGGGATCTGTTGGGGCGGGAGATTGTCATTTAAATTCAAAACTGAGTTGGAGGTGGACCATCACCTCATGTTGGCGAAGTGCATGTCCATGGCCCCGCCACTCGGGAAGTTCTCGATCATGCGCTCCATGAACTTGCAGAAGCAGCTGTAGCTGAGCGACTCGTCGTCGAAGATGACCAGGAGGGGAGCCACCAGGTCGCACATGCCCTGCATGTAGCCCACGTCCAGGTGCTCCCACACGTACGTGGAGATCACGTTGCGCAGCTTGTCCAGGTTCTCGTTGGCGAAGTACCAGTAGTTCCTGTCGCAACGCTGCACATCCTTCTCGATCCGGTGCAGATTCAGCCCGAACTGCTCCAGGAGTTCGCTCTGCAAAATATATGACATATAGGGTTACAAAAAATGTGAATTGATTAGAACCCATAACATAGCCTAGAACTACTTACACTGTAGACTCCTCCATTGGAGCTGGCTGGCGAGGCGCAGGCGGACTTGGGCTGCTGCAGGGCATCCAGATTGACGCCTCCTCCTCCGCCGACGGATTCGCCGGCCTGCTCCTCCACGGGTGACATTTGGTCGCCCTCTCCCAGCTTGGAGCTGCGTTCCCAGTGGGTGATGTCCACGGAGGCCTTGGTGATGATGACAGCCGCCGTTGCCTGTGGAGGTGGTGGAGGCGGCGGCTTTACTGCATCCTCATCCTCGGGCAGCTGGAGGTCGTCGGCACTCAGGTACTCCGGGCTGAGGACACTGCGCGTGTCGCTGGTCGGCTGCTGGTGGCCACCGCCAGGACCCACTGTCTCGTACGAGGAGGCCGTGGAAGTGGAGCAGCTGGGCTCCGGATTGAGCTGATCCTCCTGGTCGTCGGCCGAACCGGCTGACGGAACCGGCTCCTTCTTGTGATCCAGCTGCTTCTTGGCCTTGCTACCCTCCACCTCCACCTCCACCTCATCCTGCTCCTCGTCCAGCTCATTGAAGTTCTCACCTTCGTCCACATGCCCCGAATCCGTGCTCGTCTTCATGGCCCTGGGAATGGGCTTCACACTCAGGTGGTTGCCACTCACGGGACACTCCACTGGCTGCTGCTGCAGCTGCTGCTGCTCATCAAACTCCAGATCGCCGGGATCGGAGATGTCCGAGATGTCCTCGAACACCTCGTTATCCAGCTCGCCGCCCGCCTCGAGATCCGCCGCCCTGACGGTCCTCTCGTTTCCGGAATTGCTGCCCGAACTCAACTTGGCCACCGCCCGCGCCGTCTTCTCCTTCTCCCGCTGCTGCACAATGGCGTCCACCGCCAGCCACTCGCTCATCGTCGTCTCATAGTAGTGCTTGCAGGTCTCGTCCTGCTTCCGCCGCTCCTCCGAGGTGGAGCCGAAGGCGTAGTGGCCCAGCAGATAGGGCCACACCTCCTGCCGCAGCTCCGGCTGGACGCCCCCGAAGTAGACCAGGCGGTAGAACTCCGTGGCGTTCTCCAGGACCCCGTCTACGTTCAAGAGCTGCCAGCGCTCCTTGGTCAGGCCCTCCTCGTCGGCTTTCACTGGAGAGGAACAGGACAAAAGGATTGGGGTGAATATGGTAAAAACGCCTTCCTCTCGAAAGTACTACTCCGAAAATAATATTTAACATTTTTATACCCTTGCAGAGGGTATAATCTTTGATCTTCTAAAGTAATATATTTTTAAGGATTAAAAGACACATTAGCAGGCCTTGCCAACTCACTTTCCGGGGTAATCCTGCCGTGCACCAGGCCGGACAGGTGGGTGCGCACCGTGGAGAGGTGGCGACAGTAGGCCAGCCAGCCGTAGAAGGCCCTGGAGATGATCTGCCGGCGCATCGTGGAGCAGACCATCTCGATGCTGGTGCTCTGCGCCTGGAGCAGCTGCTGCTGCTGCTGCTGGAGGAGCAGCGGCGACTCCAACGGGAACTGGTCGATGGAGAGGCTCTTGTTGGAGCAGTCGCTGCTGCCGGTGGTGGAGCAGCTGCTCAGCTGCGCCCGGCGCGGAGTACTCCGCACGAAGTCCAGGATCGAGTGGGTGGCAGCTGGAAGGGGTAATTATTTAAGCTCATTTTAAATATTTTGTATCCATTAAGAGGTGTAGTTACTAATTTTAAAAATGGATATATTAAACTTATTAAATATAGTCAATTTAGGGATACTAAACTAAAATAAATAAACCAAATTTATTATGATTCTATATTCCAGCACTTACCGAACTCCTCGTGGCGGCTTTTGCTGACGATGCGGAAGACGTAGTCGATGGGCGTCTCGTCCACGGACTCCATCACCGAGGGCAGGATGCGGCGGCGCATGCTCCTGGGCCAGAGGAACATCTTGCCGATGCCGCGCTGGGACCACAGCGGCGGATCCAGCTGGCCGTGGGGCAGGAGACCCGTCTCCAGGCAGCTGAGGAACTGCTGCATGTGCCCGCCCTCGGGGAAGTGGATGGGCGGCCGCTGGACGCCGTCCTGGCCCACCAGGATGACCGTGCCGCCGCTGTCCTCGCCGCGACTCTGGTGACAGTGGACGTAGACGATCTCGTCCACGTTGATGTTGAGGGCGTAGGCCCAGAAGGCGTCCTTGTCGATGTCCTCCGCCTCCTCCGCCTCGGTGTAGCCGTTCATCAGCTGGTTGGGCGTCCACTTGATGGTCAGCGTCTGGATGTGCTGGTGCAGGCTCAGGTAGCCGGGCATCGGGTCGGCCACGTCCTTGGGCAGCACCTGCACGTTGTTCTTGCCGTAGAGCAGCGTGGCCTTAGCGTTCTGGTGCAGCGACTCCACGTAGTCCTTGGCCACGCTGGCCGAGGCGATCGACTTGAAGGACCCGCTGCTCGCTTCGTCGGAGCTCGTGTTCAGGCTCCGCTTGAAGTTGATGATCGCCGGGCGGGAGCAGGTCGACGAGGAGCGGCGGACCGAGCTGATCCGGTGGCGTTGCACCTGGTTCGGGTTCGGGGTCGGGGGTAAGGAAATATTTAACAGAATTTAATTTCAAATTAAAAATTATCTTAGCTTATAATGTGAAAAATCGCATTGAGCTCATATAAAATTTGGAAGTAGATTTTTATTATATATCAATATATCAAGTCCTCACCAGTTCATCGGCATGCGGATCGGTCCAATAGTGATCGGCTGTCTTGGCCCGCGTGAATTCCAAAGCACAAGGACCCACCAGCAGGGAGCTCAGGATGGATCCGTAATCCGGATCGGCCACCAGGGAGTCGCGATCGTAGAAGCTGCTGGCATTGCTCACCAGATACTCGATGATCTTGGTGAGTCGCTTCTCGTAGAGAGCCAACCGAATCCACAAATATCTATATAAAATAGTTATTGCCTAATTAATTTATACAAAATAATATTATCAAAATAATTTTGGATGACTGTCTACTGTATAACTCGCAAAAATTAAAAACAAAATTGAATACGTTTTTGTAGTATTTTTAAAGAGCTATAGATATGCTAAAATTTAAATAAATACTTTTCAAGTAAATATATAGTAAGTTTTAAATTCAATAAATAATTGTTTCTATAAACATGTTTTAAATTCAATAAATACTTTCCCTTTAAATAAGTTATAAATTGTAAAAATTGCTGATATAATTAAAACGTCAGTAATAAGTTGAAATTGGATATTAAGTTGTTGGCAGCAGTATAAAATTGGGAAAACCCAATTATGTTATTACAAAATGAAATGATAAAGTTACAAAAATTATTTATAAGTTTAATTGGGTTTTAAGTTGCTGGCAGCAGTATACAACTGAGAAAATCAAACTACAAAACTGCAACTCACTTCATGCTGGCCAGGGACATGCTGGAGTTGCTGGCACTGACGCTGATGGACGCGGAGGCGGAGGCGGAGGACGAGGTGGCCACCGCATTGCTGCCGCCGGTGGACATCGAGTTGCTGCTGCTCTTCTTCAGCATCGGCGGTCGCTGGAAGCTGTCGCTGCTGCTGGAGGACCGCTTGCTCGGATCGCTGGCCTCGATCTCCTGCACCATCTTGCTGATGTGCTCCGCCTCCGGGCAGCTCTTGGCGATCTTGTGCAGCAGCGCCGTCGTCGAGGAGGTCTTGAACAGACCCAGGGCCCGCCGGCGGAGTCCCTGGCTCAGACAGGCCTCCACGGCCCCGCACAGCGAGGTCACCGAGCTGCTCTCCTCGTGGACGTACTTCTTGGTCACCGCCTCCTCCATCAGCTGCTTCACCTCCTTCTTCACGCTGGCTATCAGCCGCTCCTTGTAGTCGGAGCCATCTGGAAGGTATGGTAATCATATTTAGTATACCAAAGTATATTGAAAAAACTGTAGAAACAATAATCATAATCAACAACCAACCTAATATTTAGATATAACTATCTCTTAGGCTTAAGGTCTACTGCTGCTATAGCTCTATTAGCAACCCTATGTTACCTTATAGTTTTATCTACAAGATAGCATTAAGTAATAATAGTAATATTATTTAAAAAAATATATAACAATTTCTTAAAAAATGTAAAAGTGGTTCCCCTTCACTTTATAAGACTCCATTTAAACATTTTAAAATAATGCATCACAAAATAAGAAATCAGACCTGAAAAAAATATTGTTATTATTATTATTTAAATAATATTAAATAAATATAATCATAATATTTAGGTCCCTATTATTTACGATCAAAAACTAATATATACTATTATTTGATTTTATTATAAAATTTACTTTTTAAGCATAACTTTTTTATCAAAACCACTTTCAACAGAACTTGTCAAAAATGTGTCGCAAAAGGGAATCAATGTCCATCATTAAAACGTAGATACACCTAATCGCAGTGATAAAATGATATTATCTTTATAAAGGTCACTGGTGACTGATAGTCAACCAAGGCAAAGCGATTAAAGGCCAAATGGTATGTGAATATAGTGTATTTTTTGTTTGATTAGTTTATTGCGCAATTATAATTATTTTCCTTACTTTTCCCCCTTTATTTTGTAACCAAACTATCCTATTTCCGGATTTCCTTGTCGCGGAAATTTGATCGTTGCGCAACAAGTTTTTAATGAATATAAATAATAGAAGCCAATGTTTGACAAACCCCTGCCATTACAATTCGCCCCGTCGGATGAAACGCAAACCCCGCCGGGTCCTAAAAAGGAAATCACAGCGCCAACGCCCAGTAAACACTGACCCCCCTGCGCTATATCCTGTATATATTCCGTATGTCCCGAATGTCCTGGATGTCCTGTGCAGTCTGTGAAACTCAATATGTCCAGCATGTGTTGACTGCCGCCCCTCAAACACGGTCCCCCAGCTAAAATGCTAATGGCATTTGCACTCAAAACTCATGATGGCCTCCGGCCACGTATAATTTCATTTTCATTTTCATTAATTGTTTTCCATTTGGAGCGACAGGAGAGGTCGGCCAGGGGTGAAGTATCCCCGGGTGACCGTCGACCAGTGAGCAGATACAAGTACGGATGCAGATACACTCACGGATCCACCCAGAGATGACGGATGATGAGTAATGTGGCCGAAGGACCCGGTTGCCGAATGGAAAAACGTGCAGATCGGGGTGGCAAATCCCATGGACAGGCCATAAAACACGCCAATACAGGACCATAAATAATCAGAACCTATGATCCACAGATGGAATCTCTTTAATTAGAGATTCTAATGGCTCAATGGTGGTCGGGCGAGCCACGCTTTTAATATTATTTAATCTCAGTTAAGGATATCTTGATTTTATTTTGAAATTCTTCTGAAAGGATAACAAAAGATATATATATGTAATAAATACATAAATAAATAAATCCTTATTAGGGATCTTAGAATAGCTTCATTTTTTTACCACAATTATTTTTGTAATACTTTTTTTAGTTATTAAAGAAGAACTTGTTAAGATTGTAATGAGAAATATATAATTATTGCCAATTATCTTCCTTATGCTTAATAAAAAGTATATATAAAGAAAAAAAAATATAAAAATCTATATTTTATTTAGGGGAAAGAAAAAAAGTAAAACACGTAGAAGGGCAATTTTATTTTGTCACAAAAAGTAGGTCAATATATCCCAAATTCTCATTAGGGATCGTAAAAAGCTTCATCTATTTTCCATCAAATCGATTTCGGATGGATATTGGTTTTGGGGTTTCCCGAATGCACTTCCCACTGGCAGCTTGATGGACGCCGCCCACAGAGCTGGGTTCATTATGCTGGATGTGGATGATGGTTTGGATGAGGATGAGGATGAGGATGTGGATGTGGACGAGGATGTGGACGGGGCAGTGGATGTGGGTGTGGGTGAGGACGGGGCAGTGGTTCCGGGGGTCTGTGGCGACAACAAAGTGCTCGTTGTCTGGAACGCCGACCGCGTTGTCGCCAGGCCGTGTCCTTGGCGGTGGGAGAAAATGGGTGGGAAAATGGTTGGAAAAATGGGTGGAAAAACGTGTGGAAAAATGGGTCGAAAACGGGTCGAAAAATGGGTGGCTGCCGGGGAACAGTTGCCCCGTTTTAATTGCTGCTCTTTTGTTGCACCATTTTAATTTTCATTTGACACTTGTTGTTAGTTTTCTTTCTCCTTTCTCTTTCTCCCTTTCCCTCCATTTCCATCCATCTATTGCATGTAATTAGCATTTAAATGCTCGCAACTCGGGGCCTTGGCAACAAGTTTTAATAACTCCATTTTCCCATTTTCCCCCAGCCGGGAAATGCAAATATGTTGGCGAGAAAGTGGAGAAAGTTCTGCACCTCCTGCCATTTGTCATTCGCCATTTGCTATTTGCTTTTTGCTGATTTGTTTGTTTATTATTTGTTTGCCTGGCCTCTGTGGACGCGTCCAAATGAAAGTATATAACACGGGATACTCGGATAATTGCTCTGTACTTGTACATAACATTAGGAAAATCTATAAGATTAGTTTACATTTTATTTGTGCATTTTCATGTATATTACATTGTAAGGAATTCTTTCCAGTGTTCTCAGTGCTGCCTAGCAATATCGACCACGAAAGTTCCGAGTTTGAAAACCCTTTGGGATCGCCCAGCCGGAGCAGCATCATCAATGGCAACTGGATGAAGGGGGGGAGGGGTGGAAGGGGATGAGGGGATGAGGGGGTCACCTCCACAGTGACCTTGATGAGCTTGATGGTCTTGGCCAGCGATTATCCCGCCGGGAGATGCTGTAGGTCAACACACACAACAATAGGTGGAAAAGCAAGCCATAAAAGCCATCCTTAAAGTTCCTGGCGATGGTAAAAAGTTACTGCTTAAACAAAATTGTATAAAATACAATCAAGACCTGATTCAACTGGAAATCATAACACATTTTTTAAAACACCATATAATCTTGGAAATACTAAAGGTTGTACCTTATCATCCAATCAACAATTAGTTGGAATTAAAATCATTCAAACAGAAATTGCAAATAATTGAAACGTTTTCCCAAACCAATTCAACTTTAAGAGTTCAAAGTGCTTTAACTTTTATTGGCCCACCTGGCGTATGGGTAATCAATCAAACGGGCCAAGCGAAAATCAAAATCAAGTGAAATCAAAGTCCACGAGGAAGCCAAACCCACGAAATTCGTTTTAGAATCCCCTGGCGAATGAAAAAAGAAACTCTCGAGCAACAGAATCCAGAAGCTCAACAAGAAACTTTATCAATTATCCCCAGGAACAATCAAGAGCGAAATTTGCCGCAGTGCGAATCAATTTCAGTTTCTGCCAAGTTCAGCAAACATGGCAAGGGAAAATGGGAAATCGGGGTGCTTTCTTACTAGGAGAAAGTCCTCGGACTGCTCTTCCTGTAATCGTAAATTCATTTGGCCCACCAAATGGCAATTGATGGCTTAAACAGGCTTAATAACCATTTTGGGCCACGCACACACACACCCAAGGTCGAGCCTTAATTAGGGGTAGCGGAAAAGGGGGGAAAATCGGTGGGAAAATGGTGGAAAATCGGTGGGAAAATAGGTGACTCCCGTGTGGTTGGCTATTCCCAGCCAGCAGCGTTTTAAATAAAATCGTTCTATTTCCATCGCCCCAAAATCTTTTGCCTTTGCTGCTCGCTGGTCCGCACTTTGTTCGTCCTGCTCCTCGACGCTTTTATTTTTATACGTATTTTGATGTGGTCACGGATATAGATGTTCCCGGGGCTTTCGTTTAATTTCGGTTTTATGACCCCGAACCGCTTTTGTGGCAGTTACAACCAGTTATGGCTATTTGGATGGATTTTTCTTTAATTTTCTTTATGAAGATTTCGACTTTTTTATGGCCATTTGTACTTTTTGTTTGGTTTTTCCAGGGCAAATGGGTTCATAAATAATAATTATTATGGTCGAAGCTTATTAATATTGTTATAAAAACAGAAAAACAATTTAAATGAGGGTGGCTGAGCTTAAAAAAATTGTTGCATACTTTAAGACACATCAAATTTTCATCATCTTTATGAAGACTTAATTTTTTTTGCCATTTGCTCTTTTTGGTTGGATTTTCCAAGGCAAATGGGCTCATAAATTATAATTATTATGGATAAAACTTGTTAAAATTGCTTTTAAAACCCAAAAACATTTTAAATAGGCTATGCTGAGTTTAAAATCGATGCCTGACATGTTTTTTAAAAGTGATTTTCCAACACAAAAGACATATTGGCTTCTTCTTACTTAGTTAGTTACTTAGATTTTCATCTGGCAACTTTCACAACTATTAATTTTCGTTTGAATTCACATACATTGTTCAATCGTTTATATCTACAACCGAAATCTAAGCACTTGGATGTGAGTTTATAGAAACAACAACTATTTTATGAAAGAAAGTTTATGACTTAAGTGGACAAAAGTCAATGACAATGGTTTTGAATCTACAATAAAATCAGTCAACTATTTCGGTACACTTGACAAAAATGTCCAACTATTAAGCAGATTGGTACGTTTTTATATTTGTTTTCTTTTTGATTTTCTTCTAAAATAACACATAAATTTCTCTTAGTACATAGCTCATTATACGACATTCTATCGGATAGACATCTGTTGGTACTTTTTTGCCATTGCTTTCAGTTCATTTGGTTTGTTTTGCGTGTTTTTTGGGGTTTGCTATCTGGCAGAAAATGTAGAAAGACCCGCATAGGCAGATAACTAAATAAATATGTATATACACTGGGGCAGAAACTGCGACATTAATTACAGTCTAATGCCTTGTACATATTGTGTATATGTTGTGTGTTGGCCCCAACACGCAAACTGCATTAAGTGTGGCTTGTTCGCATTTAAGTAGACCGCAGCC